CTTTCTATTAAGACTGGGCAAGGCAACCCAATATGATGAATAGGTTCCCAAAACTTAGCTTAAGAGTTAAGGATCCCACTGTTAGGAGTCCCACAAGTAGATCAAGCTACACAACTGCCACACCAATGAAGAGGGCTTAGGTCAGTCCCATGCAGGATCCTTCACTATTGGTCCAGAGTCTGTGAGCTCCTGTGAGCCCAGGTTAGTTGTTTCTGTGGGTTTCTCCCTTTCTTTAACAGGATACTTGGAGTTCGGCCCAGTGCTTGGGTATGGCTCTCTGCATCTGTTTCCATCAGTTACTGGATGAAGACGCTCTAATGACAATTAAGGTAGTCATCAATCTGAATATAAGAGATGTCCAGTTCAGGGACCCTCTTTACTATTGCTAGGAGTCTTCGCTGGGACCATCCTTGTGAATTCCTTGAATTTCTCTGACATGAGGTTTCTTCCTGACCCCGAAGTGCACCCTCATCGAGACAACTCTTTCATTATTCTCCCCCTCCAAGTTCTTTTTGTTTTTAGATGGTATTATGGTAGATCATGCTTCATAACTGTAGTCAGAAACTATTACATAGTTTTATTATATCTATTATTCTTAGTATTTTACTACATATATTATTTATTACAAAATAATAATTAGGGCCAACAAGATGGCTCAGTGGGTAAAGGCACTTGCACACACACACACACACACACACACACACACACACACACTGCTGGGTATGTAACACAGAGTGTTTTACATTGGTATAATTGGTACAGTGGTAAAACACTTTACCATTGAGCTACAGCACAGCCCCTGAACCTAAAAAACAAATGAAAATAAAAACACCACCCAAAATTGAAAAACAAAAATCACCCCCCCCAAAAAAAACTTAAGAACCTTTTGTTTTGCCTCAAATAAGTGTCTTCTTTGGCTGCTCTGAGGTGATTGACAATGGTAGTAACACCAACCACTGCTGTTAGAATTCCCAGTGATATTTATTTTTTTTAATTTATTAAAGATTTCTGTCTCTTCCCCACCTCCGCCTCCCCTTTCCCTCCCTCTCCCCCAATCAAGTCCCCCCTCTCGTCAGCCCAAAGAGCAATCAGGGTTCTTTGCCCCGTGGGAAGTCCAAGGACCACCCTCCTCCATCCAGGTCTCCTAAGGTGAGCATCCAGACTGCCTAGGCTCCCACAAAGCCAATATGTGCAGTAGGCTCAAAAACCCATTGCCATTGTTCTTGAGGTTTCAGTAGTCCTCATTGTCCACTATGTTCAGTGAGACCTGTTTTAACCCAGGCTTTTTCAGACCCAGGCCAGCTGGCCTTGGTGAGTTCCCGATAGAACATCCAAATT